TCTCTCTCTCTCTGTCTGTCTGTCTGTCTGTCTGTCTGTCTCTCTCTCTCTCTCTCTCTCTCTCTCTCTCTCTCTCGTTGACAAAGCAGGAGGCGAGTCACAAGGGGGTATGACAAAGCGAAAACATCACTGCCTCTAACCCTCCTCAGGATACACACAATGACGCACTGAAATCCACGCGAATACAAACACCTGGTGTCCATAACATATATTGTATACAGTGGACGTAACGGATATCTACACACACACACGCGCGCCCGCGCACACACACACACACACACACACACACACACACACACACACACACACACACACACACACACGTGCCAGCCCACTGCATCCGGGGAAAAGCTTATTGTCATTACACTTTTAATACAAACATTATTTGGCATAGGATAATGACACCATTTTATTTATTACAAAACTTTAGTGCTGTTGTTTTTTTTTTTTAAAGCAACAGAGGCGTCAAGAAAGATGATGAAGGCCATTGGATGTTGTTTAATTCATGTAGATCTAAACATTCCTCGGTGAATTACAATGGCATGGTATCATCATACCCCACGATTTACTGTAGCTTGTATGCTAAATGAAAGAGACGCACACAAAGATAATGAAGGCCACCATTGAATGTTGTTTCATGTAAACATTCTTTTAGTTTAGTTTTAGTAAGAGTTTTACGGCACTTGCAACACAATAAGGTCATATAAGTGCCGAAGATTAGAAGTGTTACAGGAGAGTAACAAACACAACAAAGAAAGAGGGGAGATAAAGACGATAGATGTTTGAAAGGAAAGAAGAAGCAAACCACACCAGAGCACCCGCCAACCACCCACAAACATTCTTTGCTAGACATAATATTACAATGACATTGAGATTTCATCCAAGGTAAAGCTTTATCGCTGTTGGTATGTGAAGTAACAGAGGTGAACACACGGATTATGAGGGCCCCGGAATGTTGTTAGTGCAAACATTCTTAGGTTTAAAAATAAATACAATAATAATATTTCATTCAAAGTTTAAGTAAAGCTTTATAAATTTTTGTTGGTATTCTAAGTTAGAGAGACGCATTAATATACAGGCGATGAAAGCTACAGAATGTTGTAGTAAAGAAGGCAAGCACGTACTGTGGTGGCGTAGACATAGCATTATGATTGGGTTATCGGACTCTTCATCGTTTAGTTTAGTTTTAGAAAAGAG